AGGCAGGGCTGTGGGCCAGCCCGGGCCCCCGCGGCTGCCCAGCCCACAGGGCTGTGGCCCAGAACCCGCTGAGCCAGAGCTCTGGGCCCGCAGAGCTGCTGCCAGCACGGGGAGGTCGCGGGGCTCCTCGGGCAGGGCTGCGCAGTCGCTGCTGCCCAAGGCGCAGACAGCAGCAGGCTGTGCACCAGGAGCAGCAGCAGCCACAACGCCTGGGCCTCCTCGGGGAGTCGTCCCCCGGGGGCACAGCTCTTGGGGCAGGAGACGGGCACCAGCCCTGCCAGGACTCGGGGCGGTGGCAGGTCTCCTTGGGCGAGGACTTGCCAGAGCTGCTGATTTTGGTGCAGCCCCGGCCCATGGGGTGGGAGCAGCACTGGCGCCCTTGTGTCCTAGGTTTGAAAGGAGATGTTGGAATATTTTCCCTAGGGTACCCCGTCCTCTGCCCCTCCCCATCTGTTTCTTCTGGGATGGGGGGATGCCACAGTCCAAAGGGGGGAGAGGAACGGGGCCGTGACACAGCACGGATCCGGGACACAAAGGTGGGATGCAGGTAGAGTCTTTATTCCAGCGCGCACGAGGTTTTTCATCAGCTCCGGAGGGGAAAAGGCCAGAACATAGGGCGGAGCAGGAGACAGACAAGCAGGGGGACAAAGCAGGATAAGGACACGGGCAAAAGGGGAGGAGTGCAGGAGGAAGCAGGGAGGGAAAAGGGCGAATGGGGGCTGTCTCCTGCTGCAGCTTCTCCAGCCAATGGGCAGAGAAACAGAGGAGCAGGGAGGTGAACAAGCCGGGACATGCCCGGAAGACACAAATTCTGGGGAAACATACAATGTATATAGACATAAGAACTATAAAGTCTGCATCATCAAGTCCGTTCAATCGCTGTACATATTTTTCCATTTCTGGAATTGTTGCAATTGCGATTCTCGGTCCTCGACATGGGGAGTCGGGGAGGGGGTGGGGGCGGAGCGGAGTGGCAGGCGCTGGGCAGCGCGGGAACGGGGAGAGGGGGAGGTCTCCCGGGGAAGCGCGGTTGCCGCAGGCACGGCTGGGAGTCTGTTGTTCCGGGGGCTATTTTGGTTTGGCGTGCAGCGGACAGAGCAGGGAGTCCGGTTTTGGCCGCCCGCTTTTTCTTTTCCTGAGAGGAAGCTTTTTTTTCCCCACGGGACACCTCGTGGAGAACGACTGAGAGAAAGAGACCAAGCCATCTCAGAGCGAGGTATTCTGCCTTCGGACTGCCTGTGGGAAAAAGGACTTTTTTTTTTTTTCCCCAGTGCTGGCTGCGAGCACAGGTGGCTGCGAGCAGCTGTTGAAGTGCCGGGACAGTCCTGCCTTCCTTCCCCGCTCCCCAGGTTGTCACGGGTTTCTCCCCCCCACCTGGGCAATTGGGACTTTGTTTTGTTTCTTCTGAAAGGTTTTGATTGCACCGTTTGTTGTTTATTCAGATTTGGTTAATAAAAAGCTGTTTCTTTTCCTTTTCCACACTTCCACCTGAAGAGTCTTGATTTCTAAGTTGAAATCGTGTTCAACTAAGACACCTTGCCCCCACGTTCCTTCTGTGTGTCACAGCCCCGTGTTTGGGAGGGCCACCAGCCGGCACTTCTCCCAAGGAGCCCATGCCAGCTTGTGTGGAGGCCCCGTGGCCTTCCCACTGCGTCTGCGTCGGCAGCCGAGGGGACTCCTTCTGCTGCCATGGGCAGGCGCAGCAGGGGAGGGTTTGCTTAGTTTTTCAGCTGTGCCTAAAGTTCATGTCCAGCTGTCTTAGATACTTTGGAGAACGGACTCCTTCCCTCCTGGGGCAGGTTGGGCGGGCTGGGGGAGGCCCCAGGGCACATGGCAGCATGTCACAGGGCCCTTTGTGACACGGTGGGCATGGCACGGGGCAGGGTGTCACAGGGCCCTTTGTGACACGTGATGACTTAGTACTGGTGGCGAGGTGGCAACGCCTCAGTGCTCCTCGGAGCGTGCGACGGTGCAGTCGGGACAGAGCGGTGTTGTGCGGCGCCCCCGTGCAGCCAACTCTTTCCTTGCTAATCCGGAGCGTTTTGGTGGCGTTTTTGTGCTGCAAGTGCCCTCAAGGCCAGACCGTGGGACTTGGTGACGCGGAGCTTTTGCGAGGTGTCTCCAATCCCTGCGGCAGCTGCCCTTGAGGCCGCACTGCAGGACTTGTGTTTCGTAGGATTTTCTGTCTTTCAGGTGTCCTCGAGGCCAGACCACAGGACTTGGTGACCCGGAGCTTCTGCGAGGAGTCTCCAGGCCCTGCGGCAGGTGCCCTCGAGGCCATTCTCTGGGGCTTGGTGCCCCAGAGCTTTTCCCTGGCGTCTCCAATCCCTGCAGCAGGTGCCCTCGAGGCCCGACTGTAGGATGGCAGAGAGACGCTTCAGCCTGTGCAGGTTTCTCGGGAGGAAGAAGAAGCAGGAAGGCCCTGGGACTGCCCCTGCACAGCAGTCGGAGGAGGAGGTGGAGCAGCCCCAACCCCTGCAGGAGGGTGAGTGGCAGAGCTGGGCCCCAGGGCTGGTGGCTGCAGCCAGATGGGCCTCTTCCCATCCCATCCCATCCCATCCCATCCCATCCCATCCCATCCCATCCCATCCCATGCCATGCCCTGTGGATGTGGCCAGGAAAAGGGAGGGGAGAGGAGGGCCCGGGACTGATCCCCGGCAGCTCCATGCACTGGGCATCACGGGGCTGGGCCCGCCTGTGGAGCGCGGGGCTGGGCCGTGTTCTCCGGCCTGTCCCGCAGCCCCTCAGCTCTGACCGCGCTCGCTCTTTGCCAGATCCGGGCCAGGACCAGACACAAGAGCAGGACCGCGCCCGTGGCCGCTTCCGCCGGGCAGCACAGGTACCTGCAGCCGTCGCCTCCTGGGTTGGGCCTGCTGTCAGGCCTGCTCAGCCCGGCACCGCTGTGCGAGCTCTCCAGGGCACATCCCTCTCTTCCCTGCCCTTGGTTTTCCTGTAGGCCTTTCTGAAATTTGTGGGCATTCGGCGTCGAAAGACCAGGATCACACCAACCGAGGTCATGGCGCAGCCTGACCCCACGCCGACTGAGCTCATGGCCGAGGCTGATGGCGCAGCGACCCAGGGCATGGCAGGCACTGACATCCCAGCCGCTCAGCGCCTGCCCACTGCTCCTAGTCTGGACATTCCCGGGGAGAGAGTTGTCTCTGTGGAAGTAAGCAGCCTGTGGGTAGGGAGGGATTATGTGGGCCCTCAAGCCAGGTCTGCTGGGCCCCCTCAGCCTTTGAGGCCAGCACAGTAGGGTGGGAAGGGAAGCCCTTCTCGGGGGAGAGTGGGAAAATTGCTCCCTCTGGCAGCTCTCCAACTCCCCCATGGCCCCTCCAGGCCGACCTGTGGGACTTGATGAGCCGGAGCGTTCCCAAACCCGCTGTGTTGCAGGTGCCTTCAAGGCACTTGTGCAGGACCTGGTGAGCCAGAGCTTTTGCGTGCCATCTCTCCTGCAGGAAGCCGTAAAGCCAGACAGAGACATGGAGCAGAGCCCCCCCCAGGGTGCCCAAGCTGGCCTGGCTGAAGGAGGGGGAGGAGGAAGGCCCTGGAGCTGCCCCATCCCAGCAGCCTGAGGAGGCAGAGCAGTGCCAGCCCCTGCAGGAGGGTGAGTGGCAGAGCTGGGCCCCAGGGCTGCTGGCCGCAGCCAGATGGGCCTCTTGCCATCCCGTCCCCTGTGGACGTGGCCAAGGAAAAGGGAGGGGGAAGGAGGGTCCGGGACTGATCCCCCGGCAGCTCCACGCACTGGGCATCCCGGGGCTGGGCCCGCCTGTGGAGCGCGGGGCTGGGCCGTGTTCTCCGGCCTGTCCCGCAGCCCCTCAGCTCTGATCGCGCTCGCTCTTTGCCAGATCCAGGTCGGGCCCGGACACAAGAGCAGGACCGCGCCCGTGGCCGCTTCCGCAGGACAGCACAGGTACCTGCAGCCGTCGCCTCCTGGGCTGGGCCTGCTGTCGGGCCTGCTCAGCCCGGCACCGCTGTGCGAGCTCTCCAGGGCACATCCCTCTCTTCCTGCCTTTCTCCTGCAGATGGTTTGCCAATTCACCCGCTGCATTTGGAGGGAAGAGACCACTGCCATGGGCGCTGGGGGCATGGCAAACTCTGACCTCTGCAATGCCCACACCAGTGCTGCCCTGCTGGATTTGCTTGTGGAGAACGGTGTCTCCAATGCCAAGAAAGTAAGCAGCCTGTGGCCAGGGCTCCAGCCCTGCAGGGATTGGGTGGCCCCTCCCGCCGGCTCCGCTGGGCCCCTTTGAGGCCGGCGGAGAGTGCTGGGAAGGGAAGCGCTTGTCGGGGGAAGCCGGGCAAGTTGCTGGCTCTGGCAGCTCTCCAACTCTCCCCCGTGCCCCCTGCAGGTGCCGGCCTTGGTCAGGTACATCCACGGGTGGCTGACGGCCAATGCGTCTGCGGAGCGCAGACTAGACAAGACTGTGCTGGCTCTGGTCGAGGCACACCCCGTGGATGTGGTGGTGACTCTGCTGCGCTCTGCCCCATCCTGTGACAGGTACGGGGCCTCCCTGCCTCCAGGGCTCACCAGCCCATCACCCTGTAGAGCCCGTCCCAGGTGTCTGTCAGGCCCAGAGTTCTCGGAGCCTCTGGCTCTTCTGGTTCCCAGCCCTGGCATGCCAGCCGCGCATCCTGCTCCCACGTGCCCTCCTTGCTCCTCGCGGTGCTGTGGCTCTGTCACCTGGGAGCGGGAAGTGCCCAGGCTGTTGCACTGTGGCTGAGAGCCCACTGACACAGAGCTTTGACCCCGCAGAGCTGCTGTGACCATGTGGAGGACAATCATCTCCTCAAGAAGTACTGCAGAGTCGGTGCTGCAGATCCTTGCCCTTGTCCTGGGAAGCTGGCCAGCCTGCAGCATGTGCACCTCGGATGGGGATGAAACGGAAGTCTTTGCCCTGGCTGTGAGTTTCTGGAACCGGCCTTTGCTCCCCCTCACGGCTCCTCCCCGGCGGCTCTTCCTCCTCCCCCAGCACTGCATCTCCCTGCCTTAGGCACTGGGCTGGAAAGCTGGCTCAGGGGCAGGTTCAGGGGCACCAGGCCGGGTGCTCCTCCTGTGTCTCCCCTGGCCTCTCCCTGCCGCGCTCAGGCCCTGCCACATGGATGTCTGGGCACTGAGCGCTGTCTCCGCTGGTTTCCTTTTTGCAGGCAACCTTGGCACTCTGGAAGATCCTCCATCTGCTCTGCTGCACGCGTGCAGTGAGGGGGTGTTTCCCCAACCTCTTTGTGCATCTGCTCTTCCAAGTGTTCCTCAGCACAGTGCAGATGCCGGAGGAGGTTGACAACTTCTGGAGGGAGTGCCGGAAGCAACGCAGCCTTCCCACCCAGCCCAACAGGTGCTCCGTCCCAGTCCTCCTGTCCCTCCCACGCCTTTGGGGCTGGCCAGGGCTCCCAGCATGACCTGGCCTTTGCTCTGCACGCAGGTTTGCAGTGCTGACCCTCAAAGCCCTGCTGCGCCGTCTGCGCTGCGAGAGCGTGTTGGTGGCCATGGAACGCAAGTGTGGCTGGGACACGCTGCTCAACGCTGACACCCACCACTACGCGGTGGGTCTGCTGGCCAGGTGAGAGCCCCTTGTCCCCACTGCCCCTGTCATTTCTGCCCTCTGCACGGGGCACCCCACGCAGTGCCCGTGGTGGTGGGCCAGAGGGATGGCCGAGCGGAGCGGCAAAGGCTGGGAGAGGCAGGTGCACAGGAGGAGCCACCTGCCAGAGTGCCCTCGTCCCCTGCCGGGGTGCTGGGGAACGACCAGGCCTCTGGGAGGGAGTGGCGGGAGAGGTTTGCCCAGCCAGCTCGGGCATGACAGTGCCTTTTTCCCCCTGCCAGGGAGATGGGTTCTGCCTGCACACCCTGGTGTTGCAGCATCGTATGCTGCCTCCTGGAGCTGCTCAGCGAAGAGATGTGTCCCTGGGAGCTCCCTGCCATGGCGTTCCTTGTGGAGGTGAGCCTGATGGCGAGCGCTGCCTGGCTGAGCCGCCTGCACCTCTCTGGCCTTGTGCAGCCGC